GTCAGCCACCGGCAAGATTGTGCGTAGGGGCAGCGCGTTGCCTGCTTCCAAAAACACTGTATTTCCTTTTATGGTTCCTCCAAGCATAAGACTTTAAAGCGCAGCGTGGGGTTTTTAACTCGAAACGTATGGTGGCAGGTGATACGCTCTGAACTTCGATATGATATGCTGCGTAATTTTGTACCCTTAAAGTTACCAGGTAAAGAAGATAGGTTAGATCCATAGAGCAGTTTCCAAGTTGCATGTATTTGCTATTAACACATTTTGGTAGGTAAGTAAAGCTGGAAATTTTGATAAAAATATTTCCCCAAGTCAGATGTGCTAACTTGTAGAAAAGGCTTTCACCCAGTTAAGAATACTTCAGATTTTGTTGATCCAGAATGTAGATATATTTTTGATGTTAGAGCTATGGCTGCATAATGCTGCGTTTGACAGTTTTCATGGTTGATATTGAATTACTGGTGTAGGAACAGCTGCCTAATCAATTTTCAAGAAGCTGGGTGTGTCTAGATGAATTTCCTTATGTCAGTTTCCTGTGTTTCTTGGATGAAGTTTGTTTCAGCTTTGACCCGGGATTTAGAAAGTAGTTACTTAAAAATTCCTCTCTAGGATTATGTGTTAACATGTACATGCTATAATCAAGTATTTATTGTACCCATGTATTGCCATTTTGCAGCTGTGTACAGCTGCATATGCTATTAGAACATATGAAATGGCTCTTGTGCATGTGGTAAGAAGAGTTAAGCTACCACTAGTCTCTTTTTGCTTTGTCTCTAAGTATGTCTTTATAAGTCATTGCCTTAAAAGGAATACAGTAGCATGCTCCAGACAAAAGATTCTTTTTAGGTGCATTTAATATTTCTTTTTTTTTTTTTTTTTTTTTTTGATGATTAACCAAATGTCCTTTTGCAGCCTCACAAGAAAAAGAAACCATTCATAGAGAAGAAGAAAGCAGTAACATTTCACTTAGTGCACAGAAGTCAGAGGGATCCACTTGCTGCTGATGATACCGCACCCCAGAGAGTTCTGCTGCCTACACAGAAAGTAAATACTCGTTTTTAATATTGAGGTTCATTCGGATAAGAAGTGCTGCAGGAGAGAAAAGTGGGTATGCAATCATACCATTCAAAAACATAGCCTGAGAGAGGCTAGTTTTTAGTCCAGCTTATTAAAAAGAAAGGGATATTGTAGGGAATTTGATAGTCGTGAGTTACTACCTGATGGGTTGAAGGATGACTCACTGGCATTAGGGATATAAATGTATTAAAAAAACAACAACAAAGATTGCCTGACCCACCCTGAAAAAACAGGCTTTGTAAGTTGTGCTGCTTATGCAAAAGTTGTTTAAGGTCCTGCTCAGACAGCACCTGAACACTGAACCAGATGGTTACAACATTCTAACTGGATTGGCCGTGCGCTAGGGTAATGAGTGGAGAGAGGACTACGAGGACTTCAGTTTTCGGGCATTCTCAATAGATATGTTACTCTTCTTTTTGCTAATAAGTTTTAAATGGACTTAAGTAACTAAATGTATTTCTTTTTACAATTCCAAGGGGCATGAGGAACAAAGGAGGGAAGAGCAGCGGAAGTATGGAGTCTTCTTTGATGATGACTATGACTATTTGCAGCATCTAAAAGAAGCCTCTGGTCCCTCTGAGCTTGTCCCTTCTGTGCGTGGACAGCAAAGCAGAATTGTTGTCACAAGTGAGGGGTACATAGAAGATGAAATTCAGCGAGTTCCAGTAAGTACTATTTTTGTTAATAATAATCTTATACTGTTCTTTGGCGTTTAGCATCTTGTAGACACATTAACCATATTCAACAAGTGTTATTGTGACTGTGAGCTATATGTATATATATAGGATCCTTTTGACCCGCAATCAGACTTCCCTACAAGTAAAACCAGAAGTTGACAAGCCAAAGTTTATTAATGAACAGTATTTTGCTAGCGCAGTGTTAAAACACTTTGTGTACCCATGACAAGCTTTTCTTGACAGAGGTGGCTTACAAAAGTATTTATTTAACAAGTCATGTGTTTTTATGGGGTTGGCATTTGTTTTTAAGATTTTTAGGACTTTTGAATGCTCTGGGAGTTATGAATATACCAGATTGTATTACCAGTACACCATGTTTTTAAAGTGGAATGTAACAGAACCCGGAGGGAATAAAAACAAACTTTTCAATTGCTGGCATAACTTTGTAGAATTTCTTGATGCTAGATCATGTTGGAATGGAAAATCAATAAGTAATTTCAAGCAATGAAGTATGCAATTGCCAGTCAGTCACTTTTAATTGAGGGAGTTTGGTTTAACAAAATACTGTAATTTTAGTCGAAACTGATGTTCTTAGTCAGAAATACCTTTGAGGTACAGTTTGGTGATACTGCATAAGATTTAAAGTTATTTTAGATGTGCATGTTAGTAAGCTTTTAATAAGCCGTTCAATAAAGGGGTAATTTCAAATGCATGTTGGTGTTCTCCAAAACAAACAAACAAAAAAATAGATTTCATTATGCCTCCTGTACAACCATTCTCTAAAAAGCTTCAGACATGCAAAAATACTGTCTCTGTACCTGGAGAATATTGACATGAGAATTAGCGCTTCTAACACTTTACCTAGATTTTATTGCATAACTTTGAAAATTTGCCACCACTAAAGTAGCGCTTGTCTTAAATATTTTAAGTAGCACTCAACAGGGTTTCTTTTGGTCACGCAATTATCTGCACATTTTTGTTAATGTGAGCTCAAATGAGAAACTGAGAAGTAGTTGTCGTGGTTTAGCCCCAGCCAGCAACTAAGCACCACGCAGCCACTTGCTCACTCCCCCTACCCCGATGGGATGGGGGAGGGAATTGGAGGAGTAAGAGTGAGAAACACTCCTGGGTTGAGATAAGAACAGTTTAATAATTGAAATAAAGTAAAATAGTAATGATAATAATAACAATATAGTAATGATAATAATAATAACAATATACAAAGCAAGTGATGCACAATGCAATTGCTCACCACCCACTGACCGATACCCAGGCAGTTCCCGAGCAGCGATCGCTGCTCCCCGGCCAACCCGCCCCAGTTTATATACTGAGCATGACGTCATATGGTATGGAATAGCCCTTTGGTCAGTTTGGATCAACTATTCTGGCTGTGCCCCCTCCCAGTTTCTTGTGCCCCTGGCAGAGCATGGGAAGCTGACAAGTCCTTGACTAGCATAAGCAGGACTTAGCAACAACTAAAAACATCAGTGTGTTATCAACATTCTTCTCCTACTAAATCCAAAACACAGCACTATGCCTGCTACTAGTAAGAAAATTAACTCTATCCCAGCCGAAACCAGGACAGTAGTATATTGTGATGTTGATTTTTTGTTTCTTTTCTAAGGCTCCATCTATTAAATTGCCTTCCTCAGTATTTGCCACAGAGTTTGAAGAGGATGTGGGCTTGTTAAATAAAGCTGCTCCTGTTTCAGGTATCATTAAATCTTTTACCTTTCTGTAACGTGAGTTGCCATCTAGGTACTAGATGGTAATTCTGGCTTCGATTACAGTGTCATATTAGTTTTGGTTTAGAACCTGCTCAGTGGCTGACATGAAGAATGCTCTATAAGAGAGCTATGTTTCAATTTGAGACCTATTTCTGTGATTCACTAATAATAGCACTTTAGCTTTGCTTGAGGGGGTGGAATCCATGACTTCTTACTATTGTGTAGCAAATATAAACTAATAACGCAGACAAACTGTAGATAATACTGTTGATTTATTTACTCCATCTGTTTGAGTCCAAGTCTGGAACTGGATTTTCACTCTCAAAATTTCTTTTCAAATGCTGAGTGGTGTTTACTTCCCTTCATTAGTATTATTTCAGTGTTACATGCTGTAAGTACGCTTTTGTTATGTATCTGTACTTGCGCTGAACATTCACTTTACAGCTATCTTAATATTTTATAACAGGAGGTAATTGTGGTAGTTCTCTCTGTCCTGTCAGAAGGTTGCTGAAGACACTTGTGTTAATTGCAATAGAGAAACACTTCCTGACCTTTTGTAATGTAGGGAATTTTAGGGGGTGAGAGCTAGGGTTGGCAGGTGATTGTACAGTACTTTAACTTGGATATTTTTTCTTCTACAATATTCTAAGTAAAATATATTAAAATAAGTTTATGGAAGCTTCAGACCTCTGGGGAATGTTCTTTTCTGGATGAGGAAAATTTACAAGAGGCTTGTGACTTACCCTGGCTTGTGTCAAATCTACAAATATTATTGAGGAATTTTGTGGTTCTTAGGTTTAGTCTTTCCTTAGTGCAAATTACCAGTCTAGTTGGATTGGTTTTTATCCAGGAAAGTAGCTTCATAATGTCAGAGAAACTTACGTATTTATCTTTTGGGGTTTTTTAACTTTCTAGGACCACGGCTAGATTTTGACCCTGATATTGTTGCAGCTCTTGATGATGATTTTGACTTTGACAATCCAGAAAATATCCTGGAAGATGATTTTGTTCTACAAGCAAATGAACCACAGAAAGGGTACACAGAGCTTTGTAGAACTGGTCGTCATATGTGAATAGGAATGATGCTGGTTTTTGTTTCATGTATTGTTGTAGGAAGCAAGAATGGTTTCAGATTTCAAATTGAATACTTCGGTGTGTTAAAAGAAAAAAAGTATTACCTTGTGTTATGTGGGTTAGATGGGTTTCATTTGTTACTTTGAGCTCATGGATTATATGTATTTGTTTACAGATACAATATATGGAACAATGGGATTCTTGAACCATTTAAAACATTGCCTTCTATCACGTTTAAAATACGTCAGTAATAATATTGATGAAGGCTAATGTGTGTTTCCAGAACATTTACAAATGCATCGTGTGGTATCCCACTGGATATTACTTCTTTAGGTTTTGTTGTCGTTCTCATCATTCTATGAAGAATGAGAAATTTTGCTAGTTTTAATATTCAAGAATACAGCTAGTATTTTTCTTTTTCTACTTTGACACATATAGCTGAATGTAAATGTAACCTCACTCTCAGTTCACAGATGTGTGATCCAAGAGTTAACAGAAAAGTTTTCAGCTTTCAAACAGAAGTAGTATTGTGCTACCGTTACTGCTAACCTTGTTTTTCTTTTACTGGCTTGAAAATAATCATTTTTTATCTTTGCCTCTCAAGATTTAAATCTATTATTGCCGAATTGTTTCAGATAACTCAACATTGGTCAGAGCTGTGGAAAGGTCCGTGTGTTATTCTAAAACTGTTTTATACTTCTGTTCAGGGGATCAGGTGCTGAGGATGAAGATGAATGGGAAGATGTGGAGGATGATAGTGATGAAAAGGACAGTTACAGTAATGATAAAGACTATGACTCAGAAGGTCCTTTATCAGATGATGGGGTTAATGGAGAGACAAAAGAATTTCTTTTTATGCAAGAAGAAACCAGGAGTCGTTTCACAGAATATTCTATGACATCTTCAGTAATGAGAAGGAATGAGCAGTTAACCCTGTTGGATGACAGATTTGAGAAGGTGAGGCAGCTGGAGAATGTAACTGTTAAACATAAGGGTGTTAAATGCTTCTTTGTCATTTGATTCATCTCATAAAGTGGTGTCCTGTACGGCTGTGCAAATTCTTACTGCCTTCAGTAGTCAGGGCATCAAACAGCTGTTCTTTGCACATATTCCACATTTAATATTGTGTGCACTATTGTATTGGCTTGTATTACATAGGTTATAGTGTTAATTGCTATTAAAAGGCCTAACACTGATATAGTTAAACAAAATTATTCCAATCACTATAATGAGCATTCATAGTTGGTGTTACACTTTTGACTGAGAGGCTCAGTTCGACGCAGCGAATCATGTACAAGTGCCTGGTAAAGACTCACTCACCCTTCCTCCCCACTGTGCCAAGTTTACATTCATGAAGTGATGTCAGAGCAGTGGAAATACGGTGTAACTATTGTCCTGAGCAGTGACAGGCTTTTTAATGTACAGATTGAAATAATGCATCAGAATAAGAAATATTTTCCAGAAGCTGACTTATATATTATTAAAAGATAACTTTGTGGCTCCCATGCTGAAAGAATCCTGACAGTAAGGAGGAAATTCTACTGCAGATGTGTTTGGCAGTTGTTCAGCAAATGAGAGGGGAGAGGAAAAAAGGGGCAAATAGAAAGCAATGTGTAGATCTTCTTTAAGCTGTCATGAAGTTGCACGACAAATGCGATCTAATTACAGACACTGACTTCTTTATTTTAGTTTTTTGAACAATTTGATGAAGATGAAATTGGAGCCTTGGATAATGTGGAGTTAGAAGGCTATATTAACACAGACAATGCTCGGTTGCAGGAAGTCCTGAACGATTACTACAAAGAGAAAGCAAAGAAGTATGTATTCCCAGAAGTACTGCTTCACATGAGTAGTTATGTAATCCTGTGTTTATGTTAAAAGTTTGGGTATGTTGTTTCCCGTTCATGTACTCAAAGATTACATCCCACTATAAAAGCAGCTATGTACAAGTATTAACCATTTTTTTTTTATGTCACTGAATGTCAGTCTTAGCTTATAAGATGATAAAATTTGGTGGAGGCATTTTGTTGGTTTGTGAGATTATGCTTCTTTTGTATAATTGTACTGAATTTAGTGTAAGTAATATCTAGAGGCATTCTTCCTTTCCCTTTTTAGTGTAACTTACTTTTCTCCTTATACCTTTACTTTTGTTTTTAACGGACTCTGTAACCAAGTGTATTCTGTCCTGCTGGTATGCAGCCGATTCCACTGTATTCCTAGTTACATGACAATAAACTCGCAGGTGACTGTTGCATGGGTACTGCGAAAATTAGTGCTTATAAAGCAACCCCGTGTCAATGTAAAACTGCATTTCCACAGTATATTCACTTTGTCTTAAAGCAGGTGATGTTATCCCAAAGTTAAATGGTTAAATGTTCTCACATTAGTCTTGTGTTTCCTGATTGAAAGATATGGTAATGTGTCCCTTGTAGTGAAAGATGACTGGTCAGTAGCAGAGCACATAGTCACCTCTAGAGCTGCCTTGCTTACATGCTAAAAAGTATATCCTCTTCACCTCCTGCCCTTCAGTCACAAATTTTGGTGCCACATAATTTTGAGATGCAGAAATACTTCTTTTGTCAACTATGTCTCTTGTCCTAATATTTTGGTTTATTTTGGGGGTGTTTACTTAAGGAAACTTATTTTTGCTGCAAGTTTCACTAGGAATAGCTTTCTTTGTTTTGGAGTTTTACTGAGGGAAGACTGGATTTACATAATTAGATATTTTCGAGAAAAGATAAACCTTATTTTTTTCCTTCTCTGTACTTCAAAGTTGTGTGAAATTGGATGCTCTTGAACCCTGTGAAGATTTAGATTCTGCTGTGAATGAAGAAAGTGAGGAAGAAAAGGAAGAAATAGTAGCTGTAGTTATTGAGGAACCAAAAGAAAAGTGGGATTGTGAATCCATTTTGAGTAAGTATTTTAGAGTTTGCTTGTTTGTTCCTAGGATTTCAAATTAATGATGGGTGATCTCAGAACTTTTCTAACAGTGCTTTAGGTAAAACGGTTTATGCTTCTGGAGCACAACAGCAGGAATTCTTGCTAGATAAAACTCCTGCTTTTGTGTGGATAACTTAATTCTTGCAGTTTTGTATCTTCGAAGACTAAGTAGTAGTACAATTCATAATAAATTTACCTGATTTCTATTTGCAAGCCTTTCTTCACTACTTTTTTTCTTTTCCTTTGTGACCTAGGTACATATTCAAACTTATATAATCACCCAACACTTATTAAGGAGCCATCAAAGGTAAAATCATTAAACTTACTCTGAGTAACCACCTGGCTTGGGAAAATTTGAGACAAAAGTGATTGTTTTCTCAATTGATATCTGTTTTTAAAAGAAGGAGGGAGCAGAAAAGAGGGTTGGGGAGGGTGTTAGCTTCTGGTATTAGTTCTTCACTGAAGAAGGGTTTGGATATATTTTTTTTCTATTAGAAGGAAGATTGAGTAAGTGCAAAATTTCTGTAGTAGCTAGGCAGAAATGTAGAGGGCAAGGAATGAACTTTCTTGTTATCTGTGATATGCCTTTGTGTAATCTGTCTCTCACAACCACATATCAGGTTTTTTCTTGAAAATAGGTGTGTATTTGCCTTCTGCAGTTTGAAACAATTTATTCTAGTTCGTTGCCCTTCCAGACATTCTCTGTCATTAGAGCACAGCTCGTTGTTCCAAATGTGTGAGATTTTGAAAGGAAACCTTTTTCTTGAAAGCTTACAAAGGAGTATTAAATGCCTACTTAAGTTCCTTTTTTTCCCAGTAGTATTTAAATAAAAGGGAGAAACTTTTTTCTTGTTCTGGGAGGCCAGATTCTTCTCACAGGTGTGTTTGATTTCTTAGTTTGAGATTAATGTGCGTTTTTCTGAGGGAAGAAAATAGTATGAGGGAACTTATGTTTATTACTGTTAAATCGAATCTAATATTTTTATACTGATAAAGCAGTGCGATGTGCTCTTCTTGGAGAGAAAGCGAGGGACCGTTAATACATACGTGCTTTCTATTTCAGCCCAAACCAATAAAAATTTCTCAGAAGACTGGAATTCCCCTACATATCTTGCCTCAGAAAGGTCTTACTGCTAAGCAGATTGAACGCATGCAAATGATTAATGACAGTGACCTGCCAAGAGCATCAACTCAGCCCCGCTCCAAAGACGAGAGCAAAGAGGAGCGCAAAGCTAGAAAACAGGCAATAAAAGAGGAGCGAAAGGTATGCCTTATTTTAAATAAAACACTGGAAAAACATGATACTATCTGAATTCTGTCTTACAAACTTTTTTTTAATGCTCATTTGTTCTTGTGTCTGGAAATTAATGGGGAAAAACTTGCTGGTCCCAAAGAACTAATTATTGCTTCTTTAAAAAAAAAACTACTGGAAAGAAATTTATCATCATAATTTTGTCATCCTGATTTCCGGTATGGAAATATTGGTCTGTTATTGTGGCCACTACTACATGTATAACTTCAAAAGGAGCCCTCATATTTCCTTATTATCTAGGGAAGCACAGAAAACAGTTACGATGTTTCGGAAAGAAATGTGGAGAATCTAATTGGCCACAATGATATACTAGTTGTTTTGTTTAGGAACAGAAATTGGCAGCATATAAGAAGCTTCAGCTAATTAAAGATGATAATCCTGGTGGTACATATATTAATTGGACTACTAATAATTAGTGCCATAAATAATATTATTGTCCACATTGTAGTTGTTTTCATGATCTAGAACTGTTAATTAGAATTGTTTCTTTTTGCATATTAAATTTGTAATTATTCTTATGCACAGGAACGCCGAATGGAGAAGAAAGCCAACAAGCTAGCCTTCAAATTGGAGAAAACAAGGCAAGAAAAAGAGTTGCTCAATCTGAAACAAAATGTTCAAGGACTGAAGCTGTCTTGACAAATCTGAGGAACTTAACTGTGGAAACATCCTTAAGTTTTCATTTGTATTGAGAAGGGAACTGCTAACTCATAGCTTTGCCAGTCATGCTCAAAGGGGGTTATTCAGATGCTACTGTAACAAGAACGGTAACTTGTCATTCCTTCTGAACTGAAGTTATATATAAAACAATGTATTAGTGATGTCTTTTCTGTCATGAGTCCCATGGCAACTGTTGGAAAGTTTCATTACAGTAGAAATGTATTAAAATGATAAAAAAATATTTTTCTTACAAGCTATGACTGGACAAAGTTTTTTATATATATATTTGTTGAATGTATTCATCAAATCAGCAGAATCCTACAGATTTAATCTGATTAGATTCTTCTATTAAATTATTTCAGTTTACAAAGCAATATATCCATTTATGTTGTCTCTCCCTGATGGTTAAATATAGTTCCTTGATATAGCAGTTTTGTAAGTCAAGGAGTTTTCACCCACTCCTTAGTTCTTTTCTGGGTTGGTTATTTATTGTTCAGGTACTGTTACGAAAGATGTGAAATGACATTTTGTAAACAGAGGTGTCTGAAAAGCTGTTGTGTAGCTAGACATCCCTGTTACCTCACCTGAGTTTCACATTTCTTCGCAAATAAAATCTGTCGCAACAAGTGTTGCAGTTGCAGTAGTCAATGACCGTTACTGTTGCAGTTGTAATCAGCTTTGCTGAAAGGACTCAGTCCTTTCTAGCATGGCAAACAAAACAGCCGGTTCTTAGGAAAACACTGTATGTTGCAGATAGCCGTTGTCTTGATTTTCTTGAAATAATATTCTTCAGGTCTTGCATTCAGTTTGGTTTCATTGAAATACAAACTTATGACCCACTGCAGTTGTTGCACTGACTTTCTGAAGATGAGCAGAGCTCCAGTATCCCTAGGCTTGGTGTGATCTTAAATTTCTGTACTGTGCATGTGAATGAAGTGAACAGGGTTTGTAGTCAGTCCTTCTGAATCCTTCTGTATTCCTAAGAAACCCTCAGCTTTAGGTCTTTAGGACTATAGACTGAGCAATCTTCTGCCTTTAGGTGAAAAGTTAACCATTTTACTGGTAAGGAGCACAGTAACCAACACACTACTACTACACTACACTGCTAAAGTCAAAGCATTTTAAATATTCCTTATATAGTTTTGTGAATACTAGATGGACACAAGCTAACAGTAGGCCTGATGAGGCCTTTTAATGTACAGAAACAATTGAAAGTACTTGTACATGGTTTTGGGAGAAGGGAATAAACAGGCATTTAAGTCTATGAGTCTCTTGATCGCTGCTCAGAAAACTGAAGTGTCAATACAGTATTCACATCTAGATTAAGCCTTCATTTTCCAAAATTGTTCAAGAGTTTCTCTTAACCAAATCAGACCAGAAATTGTCTGTAAAATTAGAACAAGTTTCAGGGTTTTCATTTAGCTGATGTCTGTACTAGTTTTCATACGTTTCACAGGCCTAAGCAGGGTCTGCCTGTGTCATAATTGTTAATTATGTAGTTGCTGATGCATGGTAACTTGAAGTGTGAGCTTTTGAGTAGCGAAGACTGAACACCTCGTCCTCCTGACTCCCGACAACAGTGCAGAAGAGGAACTTTGAGAAACCATTATGTTGAGATGAGTCAGATACCAGGAAAGAAGTTAAATGGAACAAGTGAGTAACAGATGCTGTTCAGTGGTTTGGGTGGAACATGATTTACTGAAACTGAAAATCTTTTACTAAAGACAGTGCACGTGTTCTTTACTAGTCCTTAACTCATCTGCTGTTGTACATGTCTGAAGTAACTAATCTGTGGCAAATTGTCCTTTTTCCTGACTTCTCATTGCTGATTCAGTGATACTGTGCTTGTATGTAAATCCCTTAAACCCAAAACAAAACAAAACAAAAAAACCCCAAAAACTGTGTCTGTCAAAACTTTGAGAGGATGAAAAAAGAATAAGAGATGGGGGAGGCAGAGGAAGATGCTTGAAAGGAAAAGTATAGTCCAGACTGAGCGGAGACACACAGAAAGATGTTGCTTGGGAACAAAAGTGGAAAGACATTTAAACAGAGGCAATAGAATTAAGAGGTTAGACAATTGCTTTGTTCCTCTGTACTTGTAATCAATGAAACACTGTAGTAACCTTAACTGTGCCATGGAGTATGGTAAAATCTGAAAGAAAAGGTAAGAAACAAAAGCAGTCGCACATCTGCTTCTGCTCAGCAAGACAAGGGTTTCTTTTGTTTCAGCAAGAGCAGGTAAGGAACACTTAGATGAGAAGTCTTCCCCTCTGTAGGTTACAAGTCTCATGAAAAGGGTTCTTTGTTATTGTTCGATTTCCTGAAAGCTGGTTTAGTTTAATACAAGTAATGCCCCTGCTCTGAAATGAGAGTATGTGATTACCATTGCAGTCAGAAAGGCTTGAAACTACTTTCCAAGTAACTTAAAACCCTATTTTTTAAAAAAAATTACTGATTTAAAAACAAAATCCCCAGAAATTTGACATCCACAAAGTAGGATCACCTTTGCTGTTTAGCACGTCATGGAAACGTTCTGTCTTAAGAATGAAGATTGTGTCACATTTAGTGTGCCACCTGCTACTTTCTCAAATAGCAATGGTTTACCCTGAGCTAGCTCCTGATGACTTACAAATGAAATGGAATAAATGTGGGTGCAGATCGCCTGCTCTTGCTTTCTAGCCCCCCTCCCTGGGTTTAGGCAGCGGTGACTTTGAGTACTCTTCCGTCATCTCGCCCAACTGTGATGTTGTGAAAGGACGTACCTGGGCACTCGTGTAAAATAAATAAAACAAAAAGCTGTCCATCGTAGTTAAAGGAGAGCTTGTGCTTCATAGGGGCAAGATAAATAAAGTAGTTCTGCAAAAGGGAGCCCTGGCATGTGACTATAGACATCCCTTTCTGACAACAAAATACTATTTCAGCAAGGGTGCAGTCCAAATGCTGACTCTGGTAGTCAAGCCGTCCTATACTGTGTAACTGAGTCTCTTGCATGGTTTGAATTTTATACAGCTGCCCAAAGTCAAGATCTGGTTCCTTGTCCAACCTGTGGAAGATGCTTTGCACAAGATGTTCTGGTAAAATTTTTTTTTTTTTTTTTTTTTTTTTTTATGGGAATGTCAATGCATTTAGCTGAAAGGGGTGGTGAGTACTGGGGAAGAAGGAGGTGGCTGTTAGTAGAGAAATGGGTTGAACACATGTTTAAAGGAGCAAATGATCTAATAACTGCTTTCATTAGTGAACTTGATTAGATAATTAATGTTCATAGAAATAGTGTGATTTAATCTGCAATCTTGCACTATCTTAATTTACCTGCTTGTCCAGAACCAGATGTTTACTATATATCACGTTTAAAATCATGTATTATCTCTTGGTGAGACATAAATTACCAACCTGAAGCTTCCTTTGTGTTCTAGGTTTCTAGGCAGAACTTGTTATTTCAGGCTTCCTGGGAAAAATAGACTAATAAACCATCTGATAAGTAGTCCCTTTGACAGCATAATTTAGGCACCAGGCTCTGTTCCAAAGCCTGCTGAAGTGAATGAAAAGATTCCCCCTGACCTCCCTGATCCCTGGATTACAAACCAAATGGGTGGCTGCACAGTTTGCCTGGCACAACCCAACTGCCGGGTTTTTTCTGCAAGGCGGGGGTTCTGCACGCACCTCTCCCCTCCTCAGTTTGCATTACCAATCCTGTGGCTCTGTGGTAAATCAGATCAGCCCCACGATAGAACTAAAAAATTATT